GAGTAGAAAAGCGCTATATAAGAACCAGTCCATTTACCATAAAGTGGAAAACTATCCATAGAGGCTCAAAAAATTAGTACTGGGCATTTTAAAATGGCACAGTGTACAGAGAAAGGCTCTTTGAGGCAGCTTCAGGTGGCAGTTATAAGTGCAGTTTTTAGCACTTGGAGGATTTAGTATTTGGAGCCAGTTTACTGAGAGCATTAATCAAGGTTAATGAAGCACTGTCTTCTCATGCATTTCTTATGGAGACCAGAGGATGTACACACAGTTTCTCAAAGGAAAAAAAACTGGCCTTTTTTCTTCTTTTAATTTTTTTTCAAGGCTTTGGGTTTCAAGTCTCAGTAGATGTAAGTTGGCAAAAAACTGATCTGTTTTTTGGGGGAGTTGTTTTGTTTTACAGTGTGCGAGTGTCAAGTTTGTTCAGGTCAGTCACTTCTCTGCTCAGTTTTATGAGCTCGAGCACGAAGGGGGCCGCCACACCACGAATTCCCTTCCCAGAATGCCCTTTTGTTTGACGTGCCACTGAGTAAGATCTGCTTGAGCTGGTAACCGTAGCAACAGCGGTGTGTTGTAAATGTGTGAGGGTTTTGAAGAAGCGGGCGAAGACCAAAACGCAGAGTTTGTTTGTGTGAGTGTGAAGGGCACACGGCTACGAGTTCAGCCAGAGTGGACATCACAGTCCAGACGAAGGTTGCAATGACATCATTATTTCACACAGGGGGACCACAAAAGGAGCAAAGCAGCTCACAATTGGAACAGTTTTTTTCATTCAAGGGAAAAATGATTCTTTCTGTATTTTCTCTAATCGTGTCTTTCGCACTGTTAATTACACAATCTTGTGGCACTGTTTCTTCTGTAGCATTAAACCAATATTTAAATGAGCGCAGTAGATTTAAATCTGCAACGATTTAAAATTCCTTAAAGTATTGAGAGTATATGTTAAGGTTCATGAAACCTCTGTATCCTGTCAGCAATGAACAGTAGTTTGAGAAAACTTTTTCCTGAGTAAAGGGCTTTTTAATTAAAAAGGCTTTTTTAAATTTTTTTATTGCTGAGTTGAAAGTACACTTGGAACAATCAGCTGTCTGCAACTGTCTTATCTTTCTTGCCATCCACATTCATCTCATCGCTCGTAGTGATTCTCCTTTAAGGATCATGGATACATGTTGAAATGAAAGAGTAGGCACATGTAGTTTACACACAAACTTTGTGGCACAAAAGTTTTTCTTTTTAATCCCGTGTGGCTGCTTTTACAATCAGAATTATGATCTGAATTCACTGCTGTGCCAAACACATTTTGCTTTTCCAAGATCATAAATTCTCTA